TTGATAATAATGATATTGATAATGTGAATTGACATGGTAATAGCTATTATGGCGAAAATTATAGAGCCATTGTAACAATGTTCAATCATATGATAATAATTATGTTAAAGATATACAACGATAATGGAAATATTAGTAGTAACAGCACGACATTTTGCGGTTCCAATACGAACAGTGCCAAATATAACAAAATAACAATGATAAACGGTAATAACAACAAAACTTATCATCAAAGAAAGATGAAAAACTTTTATGAAATCATCTAATTCATTATTTTATTGAGTTAATGATCTTTGAATGTTTTATTTACAAAACTGGCAGTAAAAGTTTGTATTGTTGATAACTACAAGAAAATGAAAAATGACGCTGCCTTTTTCTTTTCGACTTGTTCACCTAGACCTTGTTCTTGAATGTCGTTACGAAGTTAAAGAAATTATGAAATGGATCTGCGTAATTTACGGATCCGGTACCTAGTGAGGATAAAGGTTGTCTGAGGAAAATCATATCATTTGACATGATAATACTGCACCTATAATATCTAATATACGAAAAAATAAATCATTGATGATAGGGCTGATAAATGTTAATGAATGATTATTAATAAATGTATAATGATAATGAAATAAGAATAAGAATACGGATAAACGATAGAAATAGAAATAAATAAATGATAATAGTAATAACAACAGTAGTAATAACTAAACCAAATGCAACAATGATGATAATGATGATGATGAAGATCATTATGATAATATTGATGAATAGTTATAGCAATTATGACAGCAATGATATAATGATGGTAGTGATGAAAGTAAATGATAGTAATAATAAAACGATAGTATAGAAGTGGTAAATATGAGTGATATTGATTAATAATATAAATGATAATTATGATAGAAATAATGATAGTAACAATAAAAAATAACAATTATGATGATGATGTTGATGATAATGATATTAATTATAATATTAACAATGATGATAATGATAATGATAATAATAATAGGAATAACAATAATGAAAATGATAATAGCAATAACAATGAAAAAAAATTATGATAATGATAATCATAGTAAAAATAATAAGAATATCATTAATACCAATATTGATAATTATTATAATGATATATAGTACTGACAATATAACATACTAATATTGGATTAGGAATAGAAATAATAATGATGAGATAATAATGATAATGATAGTGATGATTATGCGATAATGATAATAAATTATAAGTAATAACAATAATAAAGTAAAATTAATATAATAGGTATGATATAATAATGATAGTGAACAACGGAAATGAAAGTAATAGTGATAATGATAAATAAAAGCAATTACATAATAATGATAATAACAACAATAACAAGAACAAAATTGATGATAATAATAGTAAGAACAACAACAAACAACAATAACAGTAACAACACCAACGATAATGATTATACTAACGAAACAATGGTAACTCTAAAAGGACCATAAGCAGTAAAGTGAGTGGTTAAGCGAAGCAGCTCAGAGGCCTGACCACGAACCACCCTGGAAGCGAGGAGACGAAAGGAGAGAGAAATCCTGACATGCTCTTTTTTATGAGTCTTTTGCTGAAAATGAGGACACGGCGGCGTTGCTGGAGTGTCTGCCATGACTGGGACTCTTATCTGATGATGCAAGGCTGCTTAGGGCCATTGGCGTTCCCTCGTGGATGCGAAGGGAGAATGCGCACCTGGTGACGTGGTCGCTCTGGGGTAAGTGGAGACTCATGCAATATTCATCAACACATATAACTAAATAGGTGTGTATGTGTTTATATAATTACATATATATACATATATGTACAAATATAAGTGTGTATATATATATATAAAATATATAATATTATATAAAATATAATATATATATATATATTAGTTATATATTATATATATAATGTTAGACATAATACATATGTATGTGTGTATATATTATTTATATATATATATATATTATCACTATGTATATAGATATATATAGTGTGTGTGTGTGTGTGTGTGTGTGTGTGTGTGTGTGTGTGTGTGTGTGTGTGTCGTGTGTGTGTGTTCATATTGTACATGTTATTTATATATGTTAATATACATGGTATATATATATTATATATATATTATATATATATATATATATATTATATATATATAATATATTTATATATATACAAACGCACACCACAACACAAACACATAAATATACATACATACATATATATAATATATATAATATATAGTATCTATAGTATATATATATATATATATATATAGTATATATACTAACTGTGCATATACATACTGCTACACATATGTATATGTATATATATATATATATATATATATATATATTATATATTATTATATATATATATATATATATATATATATATATTATATATATATTATATATAACACACATACATATGTATGTGTGTATATATGTATATATATATTATCATATGTATATAGTTATGTATATA